GGCGGCTTTGCCTCTCGTCATCTTGCTTCCAACCATGGTTGTTTGGAAGGCTTCGGTGGATTGGAAAATAGGAGGAACGGATTCCTTGAGCACGCTTTGAGTATATCTCATGCTCTCAGTGAAAGCACCAATTTGTGGGAGCAAATTTCCTCCCACGGGAATATTTGCCTAAAGATTCCTTCGTCTTCTCCGCCTCTCTTTCTCCCTGCAAAACGAATAGCAATAAGAGGACCACACCCGGGGGGTGTTGGCCAAAGGCCCTCCGATGCCTAAATTAGGTCAAGAGTTTTGTAAAGAAAACACTACCTAATTAGGGTACGGAGTTATGTGTGTTTTTTGGGATAAACCGGGCGGCCGGAGCCTTATGTAAAAGAGGAAGAGAAAGGAGGTAGCTAGGGTTTCTGAGAGATAATTTCTGCAGAGTTTCAGTAGAAGTTTAGACGTACCTCAACCCTTGTATGTGGCCATCCTTTTATAGAGGTCTCGGGAGCTAGGGTTTCAGAGGAATAATTCCGTAGATGGAAGGGAATTATTCCTCCTCAATTTGGCGAGATTTGACTAATTAGGGATTTGATTTATTTGATTTAAATCAAATCCCTAATGAGGATAGCAATGAAATCAATACCTAATTTAATTAGGTAACTCCTCTATTAATTGAGAATATTCGTAGGAATCAAATCAATCCTCAACCTAATTAGGTAACATTCTATTTAATTGGGTAACCCCCAATTAAATTGAATAATTCCCAATTAGGTCAAATAATCCTCAAATGGAAGGAATTATTTGACCTAGGGTTATGAATTAATTCGGTTCCACAGTAATCACAACAATTTTGGTGATTATCGGATTAAAGATGAAATCCCTAATTTTTGGGGAAACCTGAAAATTGAAGATTTCTTAGATTGGTTGGTAGAAGTGGAGAGGTTCTTTGAAATTATGGAGGTTCCAGAGAACAAAATGGTGAAGATGGTCGCTTTCCGTCTGAAAGTCACAGCAGCTGTATGGTGGGATCAGTTGCAGAATTCACGACAGAGGCGAGGAAAGCAACGGGTTCGTACGTGGCGAAAGATGAAGCAGCTTATGATGGATCGGTTCCTACCTACTGATTATGAACAAATTCTGTATCGCATGTACATCGGCTGTGCTCAAGGCAATCGTTCGGTTTCTGAATATACCGAAGAGTTTATGCGTCTAGCGGAGCGTAATCATCTTACCAAGACCGAAAACCAAAAGGTTGCAAGGTATATTAATGGCCTAAAAATATCCATTCAAGAAAAAATTGGGTTGCAGAATATGTGGACTTTGCAGGAGGCGATTAATATGGCGTTAAAGGCTGAGTTGTTGGAGAAGGAGAAACGCCAAACTAATTATCGCAGGAATACGATGGATCATTCAGAAAATGTTTCTACTTTTCCTAGTGACAAGAGGAAAATGCAGCAGCAAAACTTTGGCAGATTGTCAAAGCCATCGAACCTCCAAAGTAAAAGCAGCAATGAAGGCAGCAGCCGGTCTTCCAATAGAGTGCAGACCCGGAACCAGGCCCAGAAGGAGAATCCGTTTGCTAAGCCCATGAAGGATATTTGTTATTGATGCCAAAAGTCAGGGCATCGTTCCAACGTTTGTCCCGAGCGGAGGCAAGCTAATTTTATAGAAGATGTCGGTGATGACGAAGAAAATGACGAATTTGTAGACGATGATTATGCAAGGGCTGAGTTTGCAATTGAGGAGGGAATGGAAAGGCTTACTTTGGTTTTACAGCGAGTTCTTTTCGCACCAAAAGAGGAAGGGCAGCGACACAACATTTTCTATTCTCTTTGTTCAATCAAAAATAAAATTTGTGATGTGATCGTAGACACTGGGAGTTGTGAGAATTTTGTGTCAAAAAAATTGGTGGAGCGTTTGCAGCTACCAATAGAGCCACATATTAGCCCTTATTCACTGGGCTGGGTTAAAAAAGGACCTTCAGTTCGTGTTGCTGGGACTTGCCGTGTGCCACTCTCCATTGGTAAGCATTACAGAGATGATGTCGTATGTGATGTTATTGATATGGATGCATGTCATATCTTGTTGGGGCGACCTTGGCAATTTGATGTGGATGCAACCTTTAAGGGTCGATATAATGTGATCTTGTTTTCCTGGAACAACCACAAGATTGCGATGGCCACTACAGTGCCCTCAAAAAAATCAGTTGAGCCCGAAACTAAGAGTTCTAGTTTTCTAACTCTGATCAGCAGCGAGCAAGAGTTAAATGAGGCAATAAAAGAAGCAGATTATTTTTGTCCCATGGTGTTGAAGGGGTTGTTGAAGGCCAGCAAAGAAGAAAATGTAATTCCTCCTGAAGTGCAACAAATTTTGTCACAATTAATTTCTGACAAGTTGCCGAACAAGTTGCCGCCATTGAGAGATATACAACACCACATTGATTTGGTACCTGGGGCTAGTCTACCAAATCTGCCACATTATCGCATGAGCACTAAGGAGAACGACATCTTAAGAGAGCATATTGAAGAGTTGTTACCGAAGGGTTTTATCAGGGAGAGCTTGAGTCCCTGTGCAGTTCCAGTCCTTCTTGTTCCAAAGAAATATCAGTCTTGGCGTATGTGTGTTGATAGTCGAGCGATCAACAAGATTACAATAAAATACAGATTTCCCATCCCGCGATTGGAAGATATGTTGGATGTGCTTGAAGGCTCTAAGGTGTTTTCCAAAATAGATTTGCGCAGCGGATACCACCAGATTCGCATCAGGCCAGGCGACGAGTGGAAAACAGCATTTAAGAGCAAGGAAGGGTTATACGAGTGGTTGGTGATGCCGTTCGGATTGTCAAATGCACCTAGCACCTTCATGAGACTTATGAATCAGGTTCTTCGACCATTTATTGGCTCTTTTGTAGTGGTATATTTTGATAATATTTTAATTTATACCACCACAAAAGAAGAGCATCTCGTGCATTTGAGACAAGTCTTGGGAGTTTTGAAGGAAAATAAGCTATATGTGAATTTGAAAAAATGTACTTTTTGCACAAATAAGCTACTGTTTTTGGGTTTTGTGGTTGGTGAGAATGGTATCCAGGTGGATGACGAGAAGATCAAAGCAATTCTTGACTGGCCAACTCCAAAAACAGTCTCTGAAGTTCGAAGTTTTCATGGTTTGGCCACTTTTTACAGAAGGTTTGTGAGGCATTTCAGTTCCATTGTCGCACCTATTACTGAATGTTTGAAGAAGGGTAGGTTCAATTGGGGAGAAGAGCAAGAAAAAAGTTTTTCTCTTGTAAAAGGAAAACTTTGCACCGCTCCGGTTCTAGCTCTTCCAAATTTTGAGAAGGTGTTTGAAGTTGAATGTGATGCCAGTGGCATGGGAGTGGGAGCTGTGCTTTCTCAAGACAAGAGACCAATTGCTTTCTTTTCTGAAAAATTGAGCGATGCTCGTCAAAAGTGGAGTACTTATGACCAAGAATTTTACGCAGTTGTTCGGGCTTTGAAACAATGGGAGCACTATCTTATTCAGAAGGAATTTGTTTTGTTTACAGATCATCAAGCTTTGAAGTATATTAACAGCCAGAAACATATTGATAAAATGCATGCCAGATGGGTGACTTTTTTGCAGAAATTTTCATTCGTTATCAAGCATACTTCTGTCACCTCAAATCGTGTGGCTGACGCGCTGAGTAGAAGGGCTTCTTTGTTAGTTACTCTTACTCAAGAAATTGTGGGGTTCAAGTGTCTGAAGGATTTATATGAAGATGATGATGATTTCAAGGAAATATGGGCTAGGCAGATTACTTTCTAAATGAAGGGTATTTGTTCATGGGCAACCAGTTAAGCATTCCTGTTTCCTCCTTAAGGGAGAAGCTCATTCCGGATTTGCACGGAGGAGGGTTGAGTGGCCACTTAGGCCGCGATAAAACAATAGCAGGATTGGAG